GCGGTCGGGTATCACTAGTGCGTGGTGCACGTTAAAGACCCAGAGCTAGCTGCTTTACTGTATTGACTAAGTTGCTAATTTACAGCTGTGAGACAAGTCACCCGTTGAGGCAGACTAAGTTTAGGCTGTATAAACATACTTACAACACAATTGTTATCATCTTATAGTCCGAAGAATATGACCTCAACTTCGGATTCCGTTCGATGTTCAGACCACAGCTGTCTCAAAAACTGGCGGCTAAATCAAATTAAAAAAAAAAAAAAAAACTCATGAAGGACTGCCTCAGCTCATATGGTCTGTCACCTGTGATGTGCATGCTAGTGTCAACGGAGGAATCGGGGAAACTATTGCGGGGAGGCAGTAAACAGGAGGGCACTGAAAACGGCTAAACTATTAGCAGTTGTACTCCGATTCATCGATGAAATTGTCCTATGCAGAATCGCGTTTTATGAGAAAGGCAGCAGAGGCGAACTCATCTCAGCCATAGAGTTATTATAATGTACGCTAGAGGTTCAAGTGGCGCTATACTTCGTTTCAGCTTAGTTATGAGCCGAAGGGCTCATAACTAAGCTGAAACGTTATGAGCTGTTATGAGCCGAAGGGCCAATCAAACAGCGTCAAAAAGCGCAACGTCATGGCGTGCTCACTGCGCTTGACTAGCCGGCGGAGGAGCACGCACAGAGAGACGGCGAATACCGGCTGGTCCTATCTACTACAGAGAGCACGCCATGACGTTGTGCCTCTTTCGCTGTTTGATTGGCCCTTCGGCTCATAACATCGACCGCTCTCGGACCTAAGCTGAAACGAAGTATAGTGTGCTGACGCAATTTAAAGCAGACAGCAACCAGTCGAAAATTGACTTCCAGTAATGCATTTCTATCGGAAAAAGTGAGTGCATTTTCTCCCTGCGCTCGATTATAGGAGCAAATATCCCGAATAATTTGTACGTACTAAGTAGCTTGGAACATTTCTCAGTGAGGCCGACGAAATAATTGGTCGGTTACGTCGTTTCTCTTTCAAATTCGTCGCATTAAAAACGGTGCTAAAACGGCTTCGTACATGTATTTATGTGCACTGTCGGACATTGCGCTTTTCAGAATGAGGGATATACGTGCCAAACGAACGAAGGACATCTGGAAAGCCAAGAGAGACTGCAAGAACTACGCAGTAACACTGGATCAGTAACTACCCGTGCATGCACGATCAAAATAAGTTGAAGGTCACGTTATATATTCTCATTTTAAATAAGTAAGTACTGCTTTATTCTTTCTGCTCGGTGCGAAGATGTTTGTTCGTCCATTCAAGATATCACCCGCACGCTCGAAATCTTTGAGAAGAACTGCCCGATAAAAGCTGCACGGCAGAGAAAACAATACCAAGAGACACCTTTCGTAGCCCCTCGTACTTTATTCTCTACGTTTTGAATGTTTTTATCCGCTTATGCTCGATGGGGTCATTTTCATGTAGTGACAGGACTGGCATATTATCAATATATAAGCGTCATCGCAATGCTGGCGAGCCTTGAACACACTATATATATTCCTTTCGATTGTGATTTTGCTTTGAATCGTAGCTTGTTTTTACACACCTGCTGCGGAACACACGCTTGGGGCTGAAATGTAGCGAAGTTAAACATGACTCACTGGTGAAGAAAAATGCGCTAACTAAAGCAATTACACTTTTACTATGTTAATTAAGGCACATACTATTCGGGACAACCGAAATAACCAAAGTGTTCCGTGTTATTTTCCGGCGAAGAGACAAAATGCACGCGCGTTTTCCCATAGGAATGCACAGGAGCACCGCAAAAGTAGACTGGTTGCTGTCTGCTTCAATTTGCGTCACGGAAATCGGATAGACACTGGCGCCAGTTGAACCTCTAGCGTACGTTATAATAACTCTATGGTCTCAGCCTTTCAGGCACGCGACGCCGTTTCTAGCGTAGCCACTTCCTTATTTTGTACCGTCTATTTTTTTCTTGTTCTTGTTTTCGAAGCTTTCGCAGCTGGCGAAGCTTTCGCGACTGTTCCGGTGCCTTTTACCTTATGACGCTAAGGTGTGCGAATAGACCTATGTCACCGAGCATTCTACGCATGCGTGACGCCGCCATAACTTTAGCTCACAGGAGGCCATCGGCAGTGTACGAGACGGTTCGTGCTGTCTCGTGCTCTGCACGCGCAGACGTCCAGAGAGGTTGTTGCACGTGCAGAAAGACCAAAAGTTCCCTCGATGCACTGCGCCAGCGGTGGAGTAGCCAAACTGGCTGGTGACATCGGTCTATACAGCTTCAAATAGAACGGCGCTGCGTCGTCGCTAGCATCAACACCGGAAGGAAAGCCAGTACGTCGTGGGTTTACGCACTGTGACGGCTATAAACAAGGCAGCGTTATTCAATTGGAGCCACTATTCGCACACCCAGACATGACACCAGTGATCCCCTGATTATACATGACTTGCATTCAGTTCACATCTGCTGTCTTTGTGACGACGTCATTGCATACCTTCTGCAGTATACACACCGCACCACCGAACTTCTTTTCGCGAAAAGAAGAAACTCCAGGATGTGTTGCAAGGACGCAACGCGCCAGCGATGTATACGTAATCTAATTTGCGCTGACAATCCCCATGCAAGAAACTCTAGGGGTTTAGACTTACCCCATTCTTTAAGTGGCGCAAGAATTTCCACAACTAAAAAGAAACACTGTCTGCTTTTTCAATCGCCTAGCCCCTGGCAGAGCTATAGCTCACTATCGTTCGTCCACATCATTACCCACAAAAACCTATTAGGACCACGGGATACTTTTTTTTTTTTCTGGAGCCGAGGCTGTATTGACTTACCGTAGGCATTGAGCGGACACAGAAAGAACTAAGTTGGCTCGCGTAAATAGGCGCCTCTGCTCGAGTTGATTGAGTTTACCATGGGCCACGAGAGGCACTGGCGTGTCTAGCTTTTAGTCTGTTGCTACACACACTCTTAACAATTACCGTTCGTCTACCTTGCCGCAAAGAACTTGGGAAAGCCGAGCGATACAAATCCGCGGAGGAAGGCTCTGCAGAAGGCGGGGATGAAAATATGTTTCCTCCTAAAAAAAAAAAAAAAATAGATTGTGACACACGAGCGTGACGCAAGGAAGTGAAACGCCGCGCTCAGATTCACAGCCCGGACGGCTTTCTCGTGGTCTATATACGTATCTTCAACTTCGCCATTCCCTGAGCTATATACGGCGCCTGGAACGCGTCTCCAACTGGTCTGTTTAGCGTCTTATCCCCCCCCCCCCCCCCCCCCCCTTCCATCTATACATCAAAAGTGGTCCCGAAGCGACGACAAATGGCGTCACAAGAGAGCAGTAGTTTCACGCTGTCGGATTTCGCGATCCTGGCAGTTAATCGTTAAACTACAGGCAAAAAAAAAAAAAAAAAAAAAAGAGGCACGAGCGAACACTTGAGTGTTGCTGTCGCCGCGGCGTTCCAACTTCTGTGGACGGACTGTCAAGCTGGCGAGCGAACCTGCGGCGGAGCAGGCTTCTGTCACGTCCACCACCGCGCTGGGACACCGCTAGGATCGCGGCAGGTGACAGCGGGCCACTTCTACGTCGTCGTCAGGTGGAAATGGAGGGACCACTTTTTTGGACGCAGTAAACACACCAGTCAAAAACAACTGTAAAATGCTCCGCCCGCCCCTCTGAAAAAAAAAAAAAAAGAAAGAAAGAAAGAAAGAAAGGGGCATATTTAAACACGTGGTTGTGTACACCCGCTGACAATTTAAGAAACGCAGGCCATGACTTGTTCCATGTTCACATTTGTTCTTTCGTCATCCCTTCTTCGGCTCTCTTATCTTATTTTTTATTTCACTCTTCGGGATTCTCATCTTATTGTTTCGTAGTGGTCAGACAATACAATGTTGCTTGCGCGGAAGACCCAAACAATCTTCGATCAGCGATCACAGAACCATTAGTTAACCGCTTGCTCTTTCTATAGGGGGTGTAGATTAATTGCGAGCTTTCGTCGCTCACTCACCCTGTTGACGTTACCCTGCTCGTCGATCGATTAATGGGAAATTAATGGCCCTTAGATCGAGGTTCCCCCGACTACGACAAAACAGAGACTACTGCGAACACATGCGGTGGCAGTATAGAACATCGAGACACATGTACAGTAATGCCCTGCGGTTTAAACCAATTCGAATTAGAAAAAAAAAAAAAAAAAAAAAAAACGAAAGTGCGTAGAACTAAAAAAAAGAAGAAAAGTAAAGCTAGTTTTTTTTTTAGCTGTCTTTAAAAATGTATTTTGCTTGATCCAGGGGTGTTAGAACAGAAAGGAGAAAAGGCGCAAAGCCCAGCAGAAGGAATGTATTTTCTTTTTTTTTTTTTTTATTAAACCATGCGGGAGAGAGGGTAGGAAATCCCCCATGTCCCGAACACTTCCGACGCCCCTGGCGATAGCGGTTGGGATTCTCTTCACCTTTTCGGGCGCCACCCAAAGGGATAAAATTACGCACGAATTAAGGTTTTCCTGTACAATTTAATGGGAAAGCGCTTCCCCCCTCCCAAATTTAGCAGGGACATTGAATCGGCGTTTCACGCACCAATTGACCAATTTTAAATTTCCCGTTCAGTCGACGCAACGAGCCGCGACGGACGGGCACGAAGGATTTCAGTTAGGTGGCCATATACTTCGTTTCACATAAAGTCCCATCGCAGCCAACGCGACGATCCAATGAAGCTAATCAAGCGGCGCCCAACAAAAGTGCATCGTCACTCCGCTCATTGTCTTTCTACACTTACACTCTCAGAAAGAACAAAAGGGTGTAGTTTTACACCCCCCTAGCTGTCCCACATAATACACCCCAAAACTTAAGTTCGACGTACAGGTGCACTGACTTCGAACTGGCGGCCCCAACGTTTACGAAGAGTTTGATAACGGTGCGAAATAACTTCTGAAACAACTGAAGTATACGCGTAAAAGGATTATAAGGTAGAGAGAATGCGACGATCGGTTGCTTACTCGGGGGAACAGAGTCCCACTCTGACGCCCTGAAACAGGCTCGAGAGGAAGGACGAGCGCACGGTGGGGTTGTAGTCGACCCAGCGACGCAACACGTCCAGCAGGTAATTTTCGTTGCGTACGTTCAGTTCGTCCATGGAGAGGAGGCTGCGGAGGTACTCGTAGGGCGTGTGGATGAACTCTTCGCTTTGGCGAGTGATCTGAGAAAAGAGAAGAACGAACAAAACTTTTACAATTCAACGCATGTTGTGGGCACAGCGCTTATACGTCCGCCATGTTTTTTTGACGTTTTTAGGTTTTTAGTTTGCATACTCCGTTTCCCACAAAGTCCGACCGCGGGCGTTGCTTCGATGTTCTGGAGCCAATCGAGCAGTCTTTCGTCTTTCCGCGTTCGCTGTAACCGACTAAAACATTCGTGCGTAGAAGAAAGCGCAGGATCATGGCGCATTCACTGCGCAAGGACAACGAACGCCGTGACGATACACTTTTGTCGATGCTTGATTGACTCCATCGGGCCGTAGCCCCATGGAATCGATGGAAAACGTTGCCTGGACATTGCCCACCAAATTGGGAACTTGGGAGCTTAGTATTTGTCAAGTTAAAAAATGAAATACTTTTGAAATCTCTGCAATGCGAAACGAACGCAGCTGTTGAGGAGGAGAAGGGGAGAATACGAAGGGGAGGGTATACCCCTCCTCCTCCTCCATACCCTCCTCTCCTCCTCTGCTTCTCCCCTCCTCCATCCTGTCTCCCTCCAAATCAGTTTGCCCGCTAAATTTAGCGGGGAAAATGACGTCCCATGACTTGGTGTCAAGTCACCTATGAACAAATTTAGCTTCTCTGCTAGATTTAACGGGAAAATCGACGTCACGTGACCTCAAGACGAGATCATTTCCCCGCTATTTGTCCGCTAAATCTAGCGGAGAAACTGAATTTCTTCGCTAAATTTAGCGGAGAATTGAATTGGTTTTGAGTTCGCGTGACGTCAATTTTCCCGATAAATTTAGCACGGTTACGCCGACGCCGACGGCGACGCCGACGCCGACAACCACGGAAACGGGCGCCTAACCGCGCATTCACACTGGAAGCGGATCCATGTTTGCAAAGCGGTTGCGAACGCGGATTCGCTTCCAGTGTGAATGAGCGGTAAGAGCTGCGCCCTAAAACAATTTCCCAAAGCCGAAATTGAAGTTCCTCCGCGATCCGCGCAAGCGCAGTGACGTCAAAGCTTGAGCCGTCCTGTAGCTCTAGTTTCCTTCACGTATCCGAACCGTCCCGACCCGAAGTGTCGTATTAGCCCGCGTCCCGCAATCACGCTCTTCTCCGTGCCTGCCGCCTATCGCTGTGAGCAGACGACGCTTCACTTTCGAGTTTCGTTTTTTTAGGGCCCTCTCAACGATTTCAAATCTTTGAAACGGTGTGGGGTCGAAGAGAACGCGCAGTGAACTTTTCTGAGCGACGTGAGGAGGCACGTCTCGGCGGTTCTGCGTGGAAGGCTGCCCCGGCGGAGTCACAACCGAAACTACGGTACACAGGCACAAAGTCCACTTGTTTTGACCGTTTGACGATTTTCTTCTCGAAGTCTGAAAGGTCCTTGGGCACCTAAAAAAGAGAACTTCGTCCGATTCGCCGATCATTCTCACTGCTACATGTGCCGAGCGCCGCCAGCGCCGCAAAGTTTCCCGAAGGAAGATAAAAAGCCAGGAGGCGGTATATCACTCCGGACTCCAATTTTCGGTGCTTCAAAAAGAAGGGCCGTAGTGTGTTCGCAATTGCGTTAAAAAACACGCTCCACGAATGCCGTTGCTAAAATATTATAGAAATGTCGCTTACAAAGCTCCTAAATTTAATAATTTTTGCCGTCACAAATAAAAAGAAGCGAGCAGGTGAGAACAAAAAGCGAAGGGCAACACAAATAAAAAAGCGCGAGCGCGCGTAAAAATTTTTTTTCTTCGCGTGTTGGTATTTTTTTTTTTTATTTCTATGATTACAATTTGCATCGTTTTAGACAACAACAAAAAAATACGACCTTTGGGGGTGTCAGTGCCCCTTTAATCTAAAACGGAGCATAAAAACTAGAAAAGGTCCAGAGTCCACTTATTTTTGCAGGACACAAAACGTGCCAATCACGGCAAACAATAAAACATTCCCAGCGAATGACGAAGCTTGGGATACGAACCTGCGCAGGGAAAACAAGCAAGTGAAACACTCTAAAAAAAGCCAGTGAGTCTGCTTTCTCCCACAACACTTGGAGAGCCAATCACCTGAACTTACGGAGGCAGCTCAGCGAACGACGATGCTGAAACATATGTTTAGACCAAAAACGCAGTCTGAGTTGTGACAAAGGAGCTGTGCAACGATATTCAATTGGAATGACTTTCACTATACACGAGCTTACTGGCACTAGTGGGACTCAAGGATACTCGCACGCAACGCCACTGGCCAAGAAACTCCTTTGTTGCGGTGAAATTTCAAGGACAAAAGCAATTATTTTCGTTCAATCTCTCCTTTGCAAAATTTGATGACGTAACGTGGGGATCGCAGGACACCCAAGTGACGATATTTGAATGCGGTTCATAGATTGGACCCGAGCCCTGCGTGGGCACTCGGTTTGGGCTCGTGATAATTACTAGCTCGAGAAGCATTCGGGTAGTCGCCCGCGTCCAATCGCTGCAACGACGACAATAGCCGAGCCATAACAATGTCTGGAACTCAGCGCGTGTCCTGTGCTTTGCCAACCCCAGCGCGTGGCTATGATCAACATTGGCGGCATATAATCGGTTCCAGATCGCGCGGCCGCTTGTTCTGGCTGCGAGTTGAGGGGGTGAACGCTGCTCGTTTTTCTTTAATTTTTTTCTGGGACTTCTATTGCGTGAAGTGAAAAACGAATCCGTGTTTTATAGGTCATTAACGTCAGGGATCTGTTCTAAGCGGTATTTGCGCAAAGTAAAAAAACTTGTTGCATCGCCCCTTTAAGCAATACAAGCGTGCCGTTTTGCATTACTTAATGTCACAACTCAGACTGTCTTTTTTGGTCTAAACATATGTTTCGGCATCGTCATTCGCTGAACTGCCTCCGTAAGTTGCGCTGATTGGCTCTCCGAGTGTTGTGGGTGAATGTAGACGCACAGACTTTTTTTAGAGTGCGTGTTATTCCCGGCCGGGGTAAAACCTCACGTGTTGAGATATACAGCGGCGCCGGCCTCAATCTGCTCCGTGAAGCGAGCGTGCTCCGGCCGGGCTTCCCCAGAGAAAGAGCGCAAAAGAGAGCGCCAAGAAAGCTGAGAGAGAGAGAAAAAAGCAGACTCTTTTTGCTGCCACGTGTTGAGGTAGGTCCATGTAGTTCCGAGTGTTTCGTTCTCTCTTCCGCGAACTGGTACCACAGCTCTCTGCGCTGCCCGGTTTCAACTGCTATGCTTTCAGTACGCTCTGCCTACTGCGTCTCGCACTTGAACAGGCTCTGGGCAACTCGTATTTACGCTGCAACCGCAGTACATGGCAACCACAGGCCCACGGAGCGCTCACGCGCTTACCTTCGCGCCGTCCACCCTCCACATGTGTACACAGTGTCTCCACACTGACATATCATATTCTGTGTTGTTACTGCCTTTGCCACGCTAGTACGGCAAAGAGGCGCCTTTTTTAAGTGTTAGGACACGAATTAATAAACCTAAAAAAATGAACAATCGCTCTCTATAAGCCGCAGTGTAACATTTGGAGCACAGTCACCTCTATGTGTGCGCCGCCTGTTCGCCGAGACGACTGCGCCAAGCCGTGTTTTCACGAGACGACTGCACCAAGCTGTGTTTTCAAACCGCCGCCGAGCATAGAAATTATCAGCAATATGAATGACACGTAAACGTAAAATGCATTAAGTTATTTCCTTAAAAAGAACGTTGGCGTCTTCTTGCTCAGTTCGCTAAAACTGGTGCTCGTTACGCTCAAGATAATGACATTACATTTCCAAGTAGTTCGACTCGTGGGCACCAAGTTATACGCCGACAAACTGAGGGAGAGGAGGAGACTAGAGCGCGCGGAGGCGCCAGAACACCGTGTTCTGATTCAAATGATTAGTGGGTTAACCTAAAGCTAGCTGTTTTTGTCTCCGCTGCGCTTGTCGAACGCGTTAAGGTCCGTTCACACTCTTGCAACCGAGTACGACCGAGAGGGACCAGACCGGTTTCTAAGCCTCTTGCGATCTCTTAGGACCAGCTCCGCTGCACCACATCCGGTCCTAAGAAGTCGCACGAGGCTTAAAAACCGGTCTGGTTTGTCTCGGTCGTACTCGGTTGCAAGACTGTGAACGGACCTTTAGAACGCGGAACGCCGGCGTCTGGCTTTCGCATTCGAATGTGTACGACCAGTGTAGTGGCATAGCCTCGTATATACTGACAAAGCCTGACAGATCGCCACGAGAAGCGGCCGCCGAAATGGAAAAGGTGGAGCGGCAGACAACGGATGAGAGGAGAGCCACGTGACTGGCGCCCCGCTGCGGCGAGACGCCGAAACACACTTCTCCCGAGTGAACCAGCGTGCTTCGGGTCCTTGCCGCTGCAAAAGCTGTACGCTGACGTCCAGGTTCCCCGAGAAATGGCTCTTTGGTGCTCTCTGCTACCAGATCCTCGCGCTCCAAATCTGCGACCGGGCACTCTATGGCTCCGTCGTCGAACTGCCAGGCTTTGTGAGTATAGAGAAGGCTATGGTAGTGGAGACAAAGGCAGCTTTTCTTTCCACTGCACTCGTCAAACGCTTTATAACACGGAACACCTGCGTCCGGCGTTGGGCTCTCGCATTTGAACGCGTTAGACGGGTGTAGTGGGGACAGAAGACAGCTAGCTTTAGGTCTACCCACTAATCAATCGAATCAGAACTCGGCGTTCGGACGTCCCCGCGCGTTTTCGTTTCCTCATTTCCCTTCGTTTCTCGGCTCCAGCAGTTGTGCATGGGCGCAGATATAAATGAGCCTGACTTTTTGTTTCCATCTATTACGTTCGCTTTGCTTCGTCGCTGTGAATGCGCGAGAGGATTTTACCTTTTGGATACAGCAATGTTCCTATCCCTAATGCTGGCTTTGTGTGATTTCGTAAATGCAGATTTCAGTGGCTGGGCCTCTCGGTGAGGCAAAAGAAGGGGAGTAATGGTGGCTGAAATTTGACGCGCGGGAAAGGGTGCATACGATGCCTGCGTTTGCACTTTCTAGAATTGCCGGTCGCCTGTGACCGAACTAATTTCTCTCTCGTCTTATTTTTATTCCCAGTTTGTTTCTTCTCATCTTGCCCTCTGCCAGGTTTGTGCTTCTCTGAAAATGTTTCCCTGCCCCCCCCCCCCCCCCAACTTTTTTTTTTTTAGAATGACAATTTTTTTTTTAGAATAGCATCGGAATTTTTTAATTTTCAACTAAAAGAGAAGGTTCATTTTTTTTAGTTGCAACTCTCTTCTTCAACATAGTCCGCATAAAACGTTAAAAGATAACTCGTTCGAACTTGCAAAAAAAAAAAAAAAAAAACAAACTTGAGTCTTGCTTTCTTGAACAAATAGTAAGACGAATGCAGAACCAACGTGAACAATTCCTCCTAGCTTGATCTGTCGCTTCAAGACCAGCTAAGAACAGCATATTTTGGCAGCGTTACATCGTGAAGAATATCTCAAACTTTTGCCACGAGTGATTGCGGGTGAATTTGAGTGGTGCTGATTGTTGGGTGAGTTGGTTCGAAATTTTAGAACACATGGTAATACTCGAAGACAAAGACAGAAGGAGGAGCACATGGCGCAGAGTGGTGTCCAGTTCTCTTCCTTTTGTCCTCATCCTCCAGGGCTACCATGTATTCTAAGAATCTTAACGGCCTGTGACTTCTGCCTCTCTTTGCTCTTACTAGAGAAAGCGGCTGTAAGGCTTAATTAGCTTCTTTTTTAATTCTGTACTCGTTTTTTTTAGATCGACCGTGCTTTTAAAGTATCGGTTTTTGAAAATTTCACGGAAGAGTAGGAAAGCGTTATACCTGAAACACCAAGACGCGCGGGGTTGTGCGCTCACCTCGGAGAAGTGTTCGCAGACGTACTGGATCACTTTCTCCCTGAACTGGGGGCAGTAGTAGTGGTCGGCCACCCGATACATGCCCATGCTGTTCCCGATGCTCAGCTCCCTCCGCAGGTGGGAGCAGCACAGCTGCACGAGGTCCTCCACCAGGAACATGTCGGCCACTTCAAGCAGCTGTTCCACGTTGGCGTTGGTCACGTGGATCTGTACACGTGGTCCAGTCAGCAACGAGATGAAAAAACGCCTTTCTTGTGCCGTTTGAACGCTGCTTATGCGTTGAGCCGCCGTCGCACTGCTCATACATTATGCAAAAGACACGGCGGTTGCTGCAGACATGAAAAAATTATCTGCGCACGTTTGCTTCACAGATTTGTATGTCGCGAACATGTCTGCAGTTAGGTCTTGTACTCAATGTGACACGACCGTCGTACAAGAGAAAACACGCCTCAGAAAGTGTCTGGTGACTGTCTGTTATATAAATTATATTCGAGCAGTGTGACCACGGGTTGACGGCACCAGCAGCAGCGGCGAGTTAAGGCGACTGAGAGTGTGGTACAGTTGGGGATGGCTGGAGACGAGGCATTCGCGAGCAGTTCCTCATACATCGATGTTTTAGCTCCAGATTTCCCTACCTGTCACGTGATTAACTTATTCGCAACATCGCAAGTAGTAACTCCGTGTGGTGGAGGCTGCTTGTCCAGGTTGTTTCCACACAGCTCAGTGATGCAAAAATATGATTTCCAAAGAGAGGAGGATTACGCGTGCGCAGCAATATTCGGCCAAAATTCGGCACTCAAGGACGCCCGTAGCTGAATTTAACTTTTTGTATCCTTTTATTCCGTTCACTTGACTTCATCACCGCTTCACTTCATCGCAGCTTCACTTCCTAACCTTCTATACACCGTGGTGTCTTTGTTCTAGGAAATTAGTGACGTCCATTCTGACGACTGCCTCGCAGCTTTACATGTTTCCAGCATTTCTCAGCAAGACAAAAAGAGTGTCGAGTCATTGAACTGTGAACTCACGCGCGACGCCTGAGGTTCTGCAGAGGGAGAATTACGGCGCGTGCTCAAAATGCGTTTCGCTACCCAGCAGACGAAGATGGCAGCGCGCTGTTGACAATATCACAGTTCACAACATTTCGGTCGTCACCTGCTTAGTGTAGCAGAAGCAGATGAGCTGTTCCAACATGGCGGCGCTTACTCCGCGAAGCATCACGTCCCAAGGCGGCTCCTTGACCATGGGGTTGGTGTACAGCACCGTGAAGAAGGGACTGAGGGAGCACAGCATGACGCGGTGAACCCAGAAGACGCCGCCGTCGAGCGTCCTCAAGACGCCATCGCAGAGGCCACCCCTACGAGTTGCCGTTGCGAACATGGTACGTTATGCAAGCTTCGAGGCCTTTGTGTTACACTCGAGAGCTACACGCAAACCTCCTCTTTGATCCCTTCCCCCCCTTTTTTTCCCTTTTCCCCTAGTAAACTATACTATAGACCGTCATAGTTAGTTAAGTTAGACATAAATGAAACCTGAGTTAATTTTACGGAGGGAAAGAATGACATGTAACGAGGCCATAGTTTCGCATCATCTCTAACACATCTGAAACTTGTTATCGAGAACATTATGGTGTACAAGTTCGTTTGCCCTTTGCACACCTCGTGCGTTTGTTTATCTGTAAAATGCGCGCACGTGTTTTTATTTTCTCCCCGACCTCAACGAACGACGGGACACACTGGGCTGCCTCGTCATGGCGCGTTCCCCACGTTTCCTCCAAATTGTCCTTTGATTGACGGGCTCATATTTGTGTTCTGATGCGCCGCAGAAGTATTTGGCAACGCTTCATCGCCGTATATACTTCTGTTGGTACAAGATCTTCTGCTAACGGCGGAAAACCCACAACAAGGCCAGTTCTTTGCTTTTAAAAGGAGCTTTTAAAAAAAGGACCCCCTTGCTTTTCAAAGCTGAAGGACTGAGTATCTCTTTCAGTAGTCTTCTATTTAAGAAATGTTTGCTATTGACTGGGTTTGCTTGGGCACACTCTCACACTTAAACCACTTTTAATCTGTGCCGAACCGACGTTGTATCAAAAAGAAACGATGACTGCTGCTTGTTCAACTATGCAGAAGCGCAAAGGGGGGGTCACCTGGATATATCGCAAACATCAACGCACCAGAAACCACTGCAAGTCGCCATTGACAGTCACGGCTTTTAGAAGATTAAAGGATCGGAGCTAAAAAAAAAGAAAAAAAAAGAAGGAAATAGGGCACTTAGCGAGAGTCTAACAACGGTTGAGATACTCTTCGGCTGGATGTTTTAAGGGCCGTTTAGGGCTCGTAAGATAGCTTCGTGGTTAGTCCCCGAAGCACAGTCATTTTTATCTTTTTTTTTCTTTACTGGGTGTCCTTTATCAACGGAAGTCAGGTCTTTTATCCTTCTTTAAACTAGTACCTGGACGTCTAGGAACCTCCAATTTGGCCTGGACTCAATTCATTGGCCACCCATCGCTAGAAAACGTTTACAAAAAGCACAGTAAAGGCGAAATCAACACTATAAAGTACTACATAAAGGTGTTGAGTGGCCGGCGCTCGGAACACGTGTATAACGGAAGCTGGCGCTGCAGGATCCTGGTATTCTGATTTCAATTCCCGCCCCTGTCTGTTTTTTGATCCAGATTAGTATAGCCTGCGTGCGTTCGTCTATCCCTTCTTAGTGACGCACGTTAAAAACCGCAAGCTAGCAGTGGTGCTGAACTGGCTAAATTTCTCACATACAGAGGGGGTATACCAGACGGGGTTAATTAACTTCCCTGTCTAAACACACATAAAACACGGTGACTTTTGAAGTACCCCTTATGATAGGCACCTTATATTTGGGACCAGTTGGCGTCAACAGCATAACTGCAGAAATGTGATTGTGCTTACAACTTTGATAATTGCAGAACAGAAAAACTCGAATTTTTATTTATATAACTCGACGAGACTGTTTGACCCTACTTTGACAAAAAAAAAACAAAAAAAAAAAAAAACAAGCAGAAAGATTGGAGTTAACAAGCTAGGGAGCAAAGAACATATATTACCTACCAGATAACCTACCACGTAATATGTCGTTATATTTTAATATACTATCCGCATTGTTTTCCGCGCATCTTCTTATGTACAAACAAACCATCGTCGAACCAAGTCTTAAAAAACGGCCCTGTGCTTGACAATAGCCTATTTCAGTCCCATTTTATCTTTAAAAACTTTCCGAGATATTCTACGTGCCCAAGTTCGACATACTTACCTGCAGGTTGCTGGGCTGGTGTTGAATGTGGTAAACCAATGACTGCAGCAGTGAGCCTTTTTTTTTTTTTTTCTGTCACATTGTTGTTGCATTGCGTTTATACAAACGGTGGATGTGAACTCCTCGACCACTTTTGACTGGGGGAGATGGCAAGTCAACGACAAGGAGAGTATTTGAAGCAGGGTTTAGAACGTAGTATGGATCGATATATTGCCAGAGAAGAACAGCGTTTCAAAAAAGCAAAAATTCTGTACAATGCACGTAGATGTTAAGACAAAAGATGATAGCCTAGCTCATTGTTAGAGAAGTCGCACTGGTTGGGTCGGTGATACATCTTTTGTGCTATATTTGACAGTCCTATGGAACGAAAGTTCACCTATATAAATATACATCCCGATTCTCGGCGAAGTATTCAAAACACTGAAACGTTTATCCCGATAACATCCATAGAAAAAAAAAAAAAAGAACCTTACTTCCTAATGGGAATGTTCTTTCCTGAAATAAGTAAAAATCAACAAATAATTGGAGTAATCGAACCGATCAAGCAAACGAGCGAGAGAAGCGGAAAGCAAAGAGGCAAAGGGACAAGTGCGAAATCGTTCCCTAGTGCATCGGCAAGGAGCTGCCAAATCGAATGTCGGTTATGACTCAAGATGGCGCCACCTCCCCGAGGTCTGAGAAAATATGGTCTTCGATCTGCCCTGCAAGTGGGGGACGAAGAATTTCTGAAATGTCGGTAAAAGTTATAATTTTTAGAGGAAATGCATGTTTTCAATTATTTGTGAAAGAAATGAGGTCCAGAGCCGCGATGAGCCCTATTTTATGGTCTAAATCGATTTCCAACCCCAGCGGTGCGAAAACCTTTAAAATTACACTCTCGTGGGATCGAATCCAGGTTATGCGCCGAAGTGCGTCCTACCGAATACGTTTCTATACTTGCGGACACTGGCACCCATCCGCAAGTATAGCCAACAGTTTGTAAGCCATGTGCCAAGAAGAGACATCACTGTTAAAATTAGTTAATTTAGAAGTAACCTTATTAGCTCGCTATTAACACCGTGTCAAACAAGACGAAGCAAAAAAATTTATTCAGGCTCAGTGAAAATAATGATGGTTTTGCAAATCATCTCTTTGTGTTGAAAACAGAAGGCACAGGGCGGGATACACTTAGCATAAATTTGGTGCCTTGAACGCACAAATGTGTTTACCGCGTCAAAAAAAAAAAAAAGCTTTTTTTTAAATTTTTGTTTGATGACGTCATACAAGGGTCATGCTGTCGCCGGTCGCGATCCTGGCGGTATCACGGCAGCGGTGACTGATGTGGCAAATGTTTGTTCCGCTGCAGGTCGCTCCTCAGCTTGACAGTCCACGGAAGCTTCAACAGCGAGGAGTTGAGACGCCGCGACGACAGCGACACTTGCGTTCGCTCATGCTTTTCGCCAGCATTTCTACGACCAACCGGCAGGATCGCGACAGCCGACAGCAGGACACCCCGGCTTTTGTGACGTCATTTGTGGACACTTTGGGACCACTTTTGATGTGTAGGAAGCATCGGAGGTAAACACGCCAGTCAGAGACGCGTTCCAGGCGCCGTAGCGCAAACAACCGCTCGTTGGAATCCTTTTTTTTTTTTTTTTTTGCTTTGGGTCGACAGATGGATATTAAAGTGCTGTACCCTTTATAACGGGCGGTAGCTTGCGCCATCTAGCACATAAATTTCCCATACGACTGCAAGGTTGCCATCAAGACTAGAGCGACTAACTAAATAAGCTACGCGTAAAGTATCGGCACTCACATCCCCGACGTTCCTGTCGGAGCCGCCATTTTGGTGCTTAGTGCAGAGAAGGTACAATGGTGATCGTTTTAATTCAAAAATGCGACTTTCAGAGGTTAACGACGTCACGCATAATGTAAGGAAGCTCGGTCGATGGCGCTTTGCTCTGCCGCAGACCGTTTTAACACCTTTGGTGAACGAAAAACCGTTTCCCGCAATTTCAGATGAAGCATTTTTTTTAAAAATAAGTGTCAACTATGAATTTAAGCTACCAAAATGGGTGTATTGTAGTAACCCTGAAGCGTGTAACTTAATTGGGGTGTGGCTATAGTTAGAGCGTAGTCAAACGCTACATCGTGAATAGGCCTCATTGCGAGTCGAGGTGTTTGTGGCACTTTTTAAATTTTTATATTTGTTCATGTATTGTTTATTTTACTACTTGTCACTCACTTCTGTAACGCCCTCGTGACCTGAAATATACTAAAAATATAAACACCTAAATAAACTAAAGAATTCCCAGCATTTTGTTTGTGTTCCCTAGATTGTTGTCGATTGTTTTAGAGTGCAGCTCTTAGGCGCCCGTTTCCGGCTTGAGCGGCGTCGCCGTAACCGCGCGTTGCATTCATTATGGGACGCTTCCCATATTGACGTCGCACGTGACGTTATGAAGGTCACTTGTGAATGTTATGAGGGTCACGAGAGAGGCGGGGGAGGGAGGAGGAGAATGAGATGAGGATGGCAGAGGGCGAGAGGGAGTTGGAGAAGGAGGGGAGGAGGAGGGGCATACACCTCTCTCCGTACCTTCCCCTCCTCCTCCTCAAGAGCTGCGCTCTAAGTCGGCATTACAGAGAGTTGAAAACGTCTTTCATTTTTTTTTTCTTTTTAAATGAATGTGATAGTGTTCCGCGGAGATAACTTTTACTTATTCGGGTTCAGCAAGATGGGCGTTTTGTGTGTGCCCTTCCTATCCATCTCGCTGCAGTTTGCTAATACCAACTACCTGGTCATCTTGACTTAAAACTTAAAAATATAAAAGAAACCTAAACGTCTGGAACACGGCGCCAACTTGATCTGTCAATTTATAACCTTTGTTTTCTTTGGGTTTCTTTCCTAAGATTACTTCGGACTTTCTGATGCTACTGATCTTAATCTTGACTTTTCTCTAGTCCATTTGCGCATTTTTGTGCGGGTAACGTGCACTTTATTTTAAGTCATAAACCCGGTGGCAAGGTTGTAGGAAAACAAAATGAAAGATGGGGAGGGGCAGACAAGCCAAGTAGCGGTTACTAGTATCTTATTACCTCAAAGAGCAGTACCACTG